CTTCCAGCCTCCCCTACGCCGGACTGATCGCCCCAAACCGTCTGTTCTTCGCCCCACCTTAGCATACCATTTGCGTCTAGTCCTGGGGGCCCGAGCTGGCTCAATTTGGTCGAGCATCGCTTCACGATTATGCAACAACCTCTCGCCTACACGTTCATACAGTCGAGAAGACGACCGTGGTATGATGAGCATTTCAATTTTAGCCGAGCATCCTCAAAGTGCCGGTCGAGCTGAAAGGAGGCGGCATACGGTGTGGACACATGTAGGCGAAATGCGATAAAGCGGGAGACTTTCAGATGAATTCAGAGATGGCACTGATAAGCCACGCACGATCCTGTGGTTGTTCTAATAGCTACGGGATGTGGAGTCGAGGGAGCTTGGACAATGAAGTAGACCCATATTATCATATCTCCCCTGTACTTTCATTTGCGCCCCTCTCCCCCTCTAGAGCATCCCTCAGTCATGCCGATCTTCATGGGAGGACCCGTTATTTTCTTATCTTTCCTCGAATCCATGACTCTGCTATGAGGCTGTCACGTTCTCTCGGTTTAATCCAGTTAATGCGGCTTACATCAGCCCAACTTCTGATCATCGCCTACCTAGACAACCACAGAAAGCCCTCTCGAGCTCGGACAGGGTAGTGGATAGTCACACTCCCGCAAGAAAAATCCACTTTTTCTTCTTGACGAGAGTCGAGCTAAAGTTCCCTTTGAACTATTTAAGCAGGCGAAACAGTGCTATGACCTTGAAATGACTTCAGCTACATCGTGCAGAATTGGATGAGAAATATTGGACTGTCGGAAGAAACTTGTTCTTATTCACTGTTGATATGCTTAACCTCTTCAAAAACTAGGGACAAAACTTAGGGTATGCACATAGCATTGTGGAAAATTCAACTACTAGTCTTCGTATCACCTTAAATGAAATAGAGTGAACACAGCTCATATACTGTATTAATTTCTATGTAAATCATACCCAAAGAATATGGAGGATTCTGATTGATGAAGTTCATATATCATTCTTAGTCGATTCTAGCAAAAATTGGCTAAGATTTTGTCAGTAATGCCACTTGGCAGACATTGTCAAAGCAAATTCCCATTCATACAGAAACCGAAAGCTAACACCAAGTCAAGTAATCAAATTGACGTGAAGACATTCATTTCGTATGAAAGTACATGAGGAAGAGATTTGTAGGCCAGTATGATAAGAAAACGTTGGCTAATTCTAGTTGTACTACAGCAGTTTGGCCTTAATACGACATTTATGTTGATTCAATACACCAAATACCCTCCAACGTTTCGGACAAAGAAGTGCTGAGCTTTCTTTCGTCATGTGACGAACATCGTCATAGCTGGAACTCATTTTTGGCAAAGTCTAAAGTTGATACTAGGTCAAGAAGACAAACCAAATTTTTTTTATATGATATATATACTTATTACGAGCAAAATTTAAGATATAGATGGATATATAAAAGTTTGGTTAATTCACGTATAATTGAATGTGTATATGTGTTAACGTCTGTACGCAAAACCGGTCATAGTTAGGAAAAAGCTTAATGTCAGCCCCGGCTCATCAAGTCCTAATGACCCAAGGAATATAAGAAAATGGATGACCGAGATTGGGTAAGTCCGTAAGTAACCCTGGTAGACTTGATGAGATGTAAGTCAGTGCGTATGAAACTCGGGTTAATAAACCACCAATCCGAATCCGCTTGTATGGTTTAATGATCGAATGAGAAGCTGCTCTGGAATTACGTCGCTCCGCAAGTCTGTTGTGGCTGATGAGCTCGACATGGCTGTTGAATGAGTGTTAATTTGGTTAGAAACATCACTCAGGTGGCAAGCTGAGTCGTCTTCTTTTGGACAACGGCTCAAAATTCTCCATCTTCTTCCATCTTTAAATTAAACA